CCACTGAAAGGCAATCAGAGAGAGAGAGAGAGAGAGAGGTTTGATTTAAATAATAATCTGGTTTTACTATCTAAAAATGTTCAAAAATATTTCTTATATTAAAATTATAATTCAAAGAATCGTTTAAAATAAATGAAGAATCTAGCTGCACTGAATAGAATACTGCAAGTACTAGAATACTGTATTTGCAACAATATTTATTAGTTAATGTTAGTTAATGTTGTATTTAATATGTATTGAATAACTACAAAATTGAGCAATTTGTAAAATTTATTATTTATTGTTTATAATTTTTATTGATTTATTAACATAAATGTACAAATTAATTATTTGGCTTAAATTAGACATAGAGTCTAATTAAAAGAATTATTTTAGTTAATATACAAATTGAGACAAATTGAACTATAAATATGGGTATTTGAACCGATTTTAGCATTGATTTGAATGTTTGCATAGATTTTCTTGAATTCGTTTTATTTTATATTCAAATTCATTCACATTTTCTAAAGTTTTGAAATATTTTTATTAAAAAATTTTCAAAACATTGAATTTTTCAAATCAATACATATTTTCAGTGAAAACCATACACTAGTGTTCACAAAATCGACTCAAAAATGCAACTTTTTTATTACTTTAAAATAAATAGTAATGAATAGTATCTGTTCTTAATAGTGATCTGAATCTTGAGCTGAACTCCACAAATCTTAATCTCGTTTTGAACGCGAGTTTTAAAATTTGAGTTTGAGATTTGTATGCGAACACCAGTATTGAGCCAAATATTGTAAGAAACTTATGAAATAATAAAAGCAAAACATTTGCAACTTTATTACAAAAAAGAACTCTTTTATATATTTATTAAATTTGAATAAAATCTCTAATAAAATATTAGTTCAAAAACCAAACAAAATATAAACACATTTACCGTAAACTAAAACATTGCTTTTATAATGTAATAATAAATAATCATGTTAGTTTTTCACTTTAGAATATCATTCACATATAAATATTGTGAATTTAAACAATTTTTGTTCATAAATCTCCATAATTTACAACAAAATTATTTTTAATAAATGTGTATATTTTTACATTAAATATTTGATTGTTTGTTAATAAAAAATTGTTAGAAGATTTGCATTCAGTTTAATAATTATAAGTAATTTATTAATAATACTTATTATAAGTTAAGCGCAAATAAGCATTAAATTTATTTATTTATTGTTTAATTGTTATATATATGCTAAATATCTAATAAAATTTAATTAATTAATTAACAATTGTAAAGAACCTCAAAATTTTGAACATTCATTCATTTACTAATGTATCAAAATATGTGAAGTTATGCTTCGCTATAAAAGATTCAAACATTTATCTCAAGAATAACAGCTTTTGATGACGAATGAGAGACGAATGGAAAGAATATTCAGTCTTTTCAAGCAAATGATGTGAACAATTGTGTTATACATAGTATAAGAATGATGTGAATAGTGTCAGCCCTTATTCCTGAGGAGTATTACTTGTGCCACTTCTGACAGTTTCACGTCAATCGGTTGTCTGTCGTCGTAAAGAGTGGGCGCATGAAGTATAATGCCTTCAAATGATGTACAAAAGGCTCATTGAAATTCATATCAATTCACAGACTAGTCTATACTGACCACATGTGCCCACGAGTACAGCCGTCGTGAATATCCATAAGAATAGTCGGTCCAAAACCATAGCCACGTATTTCCAGTCCTCTTTAACCTACATATACAGTAGTATTAGTGAGAATGGTGTAGAAAACACAGCAATTGTATGTAATCTATTGATTATTAAGAATTTCTATTTCTATTTATCATTATTCAGGAAGTGTTGCAAATAATTTGCAGTCGAATGGAGCGACTCTTAGACGCCTTTATAACTGTTTGTGTGTTGAAGTCTTTTCGTCTTTGATCGTCAAAATGAATGACAAAAAACGACTGAATTTAATGATTAAATACTATATGTAATGAATCGATGGATTGTCAGCACATTGTTTATATTAATAATACTCTTATTTTTTATTATTTTCAGATTTTGTTACGATTATTGTAACCAACCATTGAATTAAAATGTTTTTATTTTCATTTATTCTATTTCTTATTTTTTAAAAGATGAGGAGAAAAAGAAAGAAAGAAAGAAAGAAAGAAAGAGAGAGAGAGAGAAAGAGAGAGTGAGAGGTGTTGAGACCTGTTGAGTGGTGAGATCCCACTGATTGGGTGTGACGGGGAACTGGAGGACCGGCACGTGATAGTC